TTATATATTCCTGAGTGTTTTTGTATACATCCCCCAAAAAATAAAACAGGGAATAGAAGCAAATACTGTTGAATGATGATGCATGAAGAAGATTGTAAACATCACAATGAAACAAGTGTAAAACCAATGTTCTCCCATGTAAACTATCCCTCAATTCACAATAAAAACTTAAAAAACAAAAAGACATGTGTTCAGACCCTAACTCCTATACTCCAATATGCAGTGTAATCGCAACTGGAAATAAGTTTTTCTTTGTTATGTCACGATATAAAAGGAGCAGATTAGGAACAGAAGCAAAGACAAATGAAGGAAGATAAGAAAGCCCTTGTGGTAGATACCACATGGAGATCTCTGAGGAATGCCAAGAAGCTAAGACAAGCAGTAAGAGAAATTCTTCACCTACAGCCAGCACCTGGAACTTGACGTCGAACCTCCTAAATTGTGAGAAACCAATTTCTGTTCATGGATGCCAGCCCCTTGTGATATCACTAGATAACAGAGACACAAGCCTTTTTTTGAAGGCACCTCTGTTGTTGTTGTTGTTGTTGTTGTTGTTGTTGTTGTTATGTGTCATTGAGTCAGTTCTGACCCATAACAATGCTGTATAGCATTTCCAAGGAGTGGTTGGTGAGCTCCAACCACAGACCTTGTGGTTCAAACTGCTTTGCAGTCCAGCACATTAGCACAGTGTGGCACCTTGGGATGAGCTCAAACCTCCAGTCAGCAGCCAAGAGCTTAAACATTTGCACCACCAGAAATCCCTTCAGTTGCTTCTAAATGCACACACTGGCAGGAGGGCAGCGTTGTCTAGGGGACCCTTGAACAGTGGGAGATGCCAGTCTGGGGTATTCATACATGATGTCTCTTTTAAAATGACATTTCTACTCTGACTTCATGAGGTTAAAAACAAAGATTTGGGTGTAAATTACACACTTTTAAAGTGAGGAGAGAGCCTGGATGGAGGAAGCGGGTGGGTAGAAGCCATGATGAGTAGTCGGATTAGCTAGGAATCTATCTGAAGACAAACCAAGCACGGGCTGCTTGGCTCCCTGACCTCAGAATCCTGCTCAGCATGATGGACAAACAGAGGAAACATAACCAACAGGCATTCTTTCATTTTGCTTTTTCACTTAAAAATGATGGTTGTTGCCTTTTGCTCTTTTGAAAAGATCCTTTTCTTTACCAAAAAGAACAAAATTAGAAAACACAGAGAAGACAAAAGAACATTATGTGTGGTGTTCCAGCAAGTCCTGTGGAAAACTCCACCGGATCTCGGGAGGGACTGGAAGGAAAACGTCGCCAAATGCTCCCAACAGCTGGAAGGGTCTCAAAGACCATGCCTGGCCAAGGCTGGGAAAGACTCTAGCAAATCCTTCAGGAGTAGCCAGTGCAGCTGCAAAGTTCAAATCAGACACTGGAAAGTACAGTTAAGGAACCCTGGTGGCACAGAGTTGAAGTGCTTGGCTGCTAACTGAAAAGTTGGTGGTTTGAGCCCCTCTGAGGGGTAAGAAGTAGTCTGCTCCCACAAAGTTTCAGTCTCAGAAGCCTAAGGAAAGGTTCTACTTTGCCCACTATTCTGCCATTCTTCTGGTTGCTAAGTGCCCTTCAGTTTCCATTCATAGCAACCTGTATAGGGTTTCCAAGGAGTGGCTGGTTGGAGGTTCGAACTCCCTGTGTGGTCGAGTGCTTAGCCTACAGCACCACACCAGGACTCCAGAGTCTCTATGAATTGGAATTGACGTGGTGGAAGTGAGTTTGGTGTCTTGGGTGACTGGAGCAATGGTCAAGTGCTCAGCTCCAAACCACAACGTGGGCAACTTGAACCCACCCAGTGGACTCGGGATGTGGGCTGTAGGGTGAACACGGGACTTCAAACCACAATGTCAGCTGTTCAAAGTCATCAGCTGCTCCTCGGGAACCCTGTACAGTGTCGCTATGAGTCAGAACAGACTTCTTGTTGTTAAATGCCTTGGAGTCGGTTCCGATTCATGGCGACCCTGTACAGGGTTTCCAAGTCTATAAATCTTCATGGCAGTAGAAAGCCTCATCTTTCTCCCACGGAACAGCTGGTAGTTTCGAACTGTCGATCTTGAGTTTAGCAGCCCGATTTGTAATCACTTTTTTTTTATTGTGATTGTGAAGTGCCGTCGAGTCGATTCCGACCCATAGCGACCCTGTAATCACTAGATGGCACTTAATAACTTAGCCGCGGGTTCCCTGGAGAACGACATGATGATCCCCTTCCATAAAGATTGTTGTTATTAGGTGCCGTCAAGTGTGTTCTGACACACAGTGACCCCGTGCACAACAGAACGAAACACTGCCCAGTCCTGTGCCAACCTCACAATTGTTAAGCTTGAGCCCATTGTCGCTTCCATGTCAGTCCATCTCATTCGGGGTCATCTTCTTTCTTACTGACCCTCCACTTTACCAAGCATGATAGCCTTCTCCAGGGACTGGTCCCTCCTGATAACATGTCTACAGTACTGTGGACATTACAGCCCAGGGCAATCCATGGGGCAGCTCTAATCCATCTCATACAACGTCCATCCACCGTGGGCTGAGCCTGACTGGACAGAAAATGCCTCCAAGTGCCATGTGTCCAACCACCTGCTGAGGGTCTCTAAGAACGCAAACCTTCATCAAGGCACACAGCCGCACTTGCTCCCTCGGAATTTGAACTGTGAACTGTGGTTTAGCAGCCCAATGCTTAACTCCGTGAAAAAGAAGAAGACTCCCCCTCCCCAGTGAGATGCATTGGCCCTGTGGCTGCAATAGTCCAAACGTAGAAATGGTGAGGCCGGAGCAGCCTGGGCCAGGACTCCTCCTGATGTACATCGGGTAGCTCTGAAATTTAAGAAGGGGTCCATACTGAATAGTTCTCCTCTTATCTAGACGGGTCTGGTGAAAGGAGATGGAATACGATTCTTATGATCAACAGAGAGTAACTGTTATCATGACTAATTGTGATTGTCACAACTGTAAAGGTAGATGTTTTGTAATAAATAGGGGGAGTAGTTCATCTTACAGTCCAGGAACAGAGGACCCTAGGACCATCAAGGGAAGTAACATGAGCAGAATGTGGGACCCTATCCAGAGAAGCAGCAACAACACGAGGCAGAGATGAAGACATGGAGAGAGGGAGCAGCTGAGGACTCTAGACTCATGGAAAGAGAGGGACTGGGTGCTGGCAGCCAGGAGGCAGGCTTGCAGAATGTGCCCTTGGGTTGTTTAAATGATTCCTGAGTGTTTCTGTGTACATCTCCCCCCGCTCCACCACCAAAAAAAAAAAAAAAAACCAGAGGGAATAGACGCAAATGCTATTGAATGATGATGCAAAGAGGAAATTGTAATCATTGCAATAAAACTATGAATGTAAAATTGATGTTCCCCCATGTAAATTATCACTCAGTTCACAATGAAAACTTTTTTATAAAGAAGAAGAAGAAATGGTGGATAAAGCAGTGGAGGACACAGACCACCGAGCCTGTGGCTACCCTGGTCCAGGCCTCCGGGAGCCCACGTCAGGCCAGAGGGGTGGTGCCCAGCCCTGCTGATGTGGGTGCCCCCAGAGCTGGGCAGGATGGACAAGAGTGTGTGTGCTGCATGGCACTCACCCACCTGCCCTCGTCCCCACTTGTCTCAAACTCGAGGCCAACCTTCCCCAAGAGCCTGGCCCCAGACAGAGGAACTGTCCCCGAAGCTGGCCAGCGCTGGGCCACATCACTGTAAAAAGGTCTTGTGCAGCAGATTTGCCTAATGCAATATACATCGTTGGCTTTCTTGACTGCTGCTTCCATGAGAGTTGGTTGTGGATCGGAGTCAAATGAAGTCTATGACAACTTTTCTCCATTTATCATGAGGCTTGCTCCAGTGGTGAGGGGTTTTTGCAATTCATACTGAAGTTTGTAGTCTTTGATCTGCATCAGTAAGTATTTTCAGCCCTCTTCATTTTCAGCAAGCAAGGTTGTATCATCGGCATATCGCAGGTTGTTAATGAGTCTTCCTCCAAGCCTGATGCCACACTCTTCTTCATATGATCCCAATTCTTGGATTATCTATCTGCTCAGCATACAGAATGAATAAGCATGGTGAAAGCATATAGCCCTAATGCCCACCTTTCCTGATTCTAAACCATTCCGTTCAATCTACAGCAGAGGACAAACCCAAAGGGTAAGTCTGCCCCCTGGGTCTCCGCACAGTCCCCTCAAACGAGGACTCAGAAAGGACCAGAGAGTGAGTCCTTATCCACCACAAATCAGAGAGCAGGCGGGTTTGGCTCCACTGCAGCATCTGATAAAATGGCATGGGGGACAGTCCCTGTAAGTGTCCTGGGGGAGGACACACTCAGTGGATGTCCCTGTAAGTGTCCTGGGGGGAGGACATGCTCAGTGGACATCCCTGTAAGTGTCCTGGGGGGAGGACATGCTCAGTGAGAGTCCCTGTAAGTGTCCTGGGGGGAGGACATGCTCAGTGAGAGTCCCTGTAAGTGT